AAATTTTCAGTTAAAACTAATTTATCTTAGCATTAAAAGAAACCCTGAAAATAAAATATTACCACAAAAAATATCTTAATTTAGTTATTGGTCTATTAACTATTAACCTAATTTCATTTTAATATAAAAAGTTAGTGTTTTTTCTAAATAGCTTATAAACTTTATAAAATATTTCAGAATAGTTTACTGTATAAAATTTTAATTAATTTTATCAAAAAAAAAGTTAAATTAAAATTAAAACAGAATAGTCCCAATTAACAAAGTAGTCTACAATAGACTGCAAGCTATTGAAACATGTCAATAATTATGGTTTCTGTTATAAGAGAGCACTGTCAAAAGGAAAAACTAAAGTAATATGTGATAAAAGTTACAGTTCCTCAGACAATGAAAATGACATTTTCATCCTCATAAAATGAGTTTTATCTCAAAATTAATTTCAAAAAGTAAAAATTTACAAAAGATATAGTTAAACATCAATTTAACTAAATAAAGTAAAACAGTTATTAGAAAGTTAATAGATTAAACTAAACTGAAATGAAAGTAAAAGATAGTAAATAAATTTGAAACTATCTAAAGATAATAGACAAAATAGAAAAGCCTGTTAATTAAATTAAGTCCACAAAAAACATTATACATAAAGCATCTATACTGATTCCCAATAGAGAAAGGAAGATATATCTTTATTTTTAATGCTTTTTAATAATTGATTACTATTAAAATTGATTATAAATTAAACAAAAATTAAAGATTAACTAACATAATTGGTGTAATAATAATGATAAATAAATTTAAAAGTTTTACATAATATAGTGTAAAAGTATTCAACAAAACTTAAAAAGCATGGCTAAATAATTATTTGTCCCCATGTCATCAAAAATGCCATTTCTATTTGCTTTGGTATTTTTGAATAGTTTCATAAACAGGCTCATATTTATTTACATACACTTTCATATTAATCCCTCTTCATGTATTACATTCAATGAAATTTGTCTTTGAGGCTAATCAATTCAACATTCATGATAGTTAATATTTAAATATAAACTTTTCCTTGCCCTTCGGTGCTCACTATACAACTTTGAGTAAACATCTAATTATATCAATGTAAAGTATTTCTCAACATGCTAATTGGGCTGTCAAGTCATTATATCTAATGTTTTCCTTTCGATTTCCCATTTTGTCGGGTACTAATTTCCTTTCAATTTCTTGTTTCGTAGTGGGGCATTTTCCAGGAAAAGGAAACGCTTTTCTTTCTTTATAACTAACCCCTTCTCTCTGTTGAAAAAAATGAAGCTTAATGTCGTTAACTACTAGGCGGCCGGCACCAAGTCGATCTAAAGACTCTCCTCTCAACATCTTATAATAGCAGCAAAAGCCTGAAGATAATAACTCTCAACAGCCAAGTTCGCATCTCATAGCCCAAGTCAGCAGCCATTTGCAAAGCGTAAATCTCTCTAACCACCACCCATTATGATTCACACTATGACCTATGTTCCAATTACTCCATTAATAATTATTAGAACTTATGTATACCTTGTCCCAAAAAATTTGGACTCAAACGGTTATTAGTTAACTTCTTGACACTTATAAACTATTTACATTTACTCCACAACTGAAATTTTTTCTGAAGATGTCACATGTCCATACTAGAAATCGAGGGAGTATGATTTTTTTCAAATAATTGGGAATTAAAAAGAGCTAAATGGCCTCGATCTAGTCTGATAATGTATACAAGGAAAATTCTGGTGCAGCCACAAGGCCAATGCGGTGATTTTCGTGAGATTGGAATTTTATTTATTATTATTTTTTTTTATGGAATTCGAGAGATTGGATTTGTTGAAATCTCCAAATATGGTTTGGGCTTTAGCAAAATGGTTGGGCAAGTGGGAAAAAAGCCCAATTCTATTTCTTTGAAGAATGGACCTAAATTGGATGACAGATGGGTTTAACAAATTCGGGCCTAGGGTGGTATTTTAAGTCTAATTGATGTTTTCTTCTTTGCAATCGCAAAATTTGGGAATCAAAATGGGGTCAATTATGTTTTGTTATATCATGGAAAAAATATTTATAAGCTGTATATGTTAAAAAATTAGGTGAAAAATAATTTAATAAAGTTTCATTAAAAAAAAAAAAAAACTAAAACATCTTACTTTTTAAGGCACAAATGAGGCTAGTTTAGTATTTTTTTTCGTGATAATTTATTTAAAAAACGTTATTTTGAATGCTTTTCATTTAATTTTTTTATATGTCCAGTTAATAAATAAATACTATTCTCTTTATCTTAA